GAGGATGCCGCAGCAAAATTCCCGGACCAGTCCTACCTCTTCAATGAATTCACAGCTGGTTCGATTGTTTTGGCAAAGATGCAAGGTAATACGACAAGAAGACACCTTTTAGAAGTCCAATATAGCACTTGACGCGGTTTCTTAAACCCTCAGGTTCTAAAAAGGTTTTCCCATTCCCACAAATCCCTGGACCCGATCTGCTTTTACGTCGCCGCCCAGTATTTTCAGTGTGCAAGCTGTGTGCTTTCCGTGCAAAGAAAATCACATATTTTTGTATGTCATTAAAAAGATACTACAGAGAGTGTAAAGCGTTACAGTGGATAAGGCCGGCGTTAATAAACTGACGAATATGATGCCATTTGAATGATTATAGTTCGGTCTTAAGACATTTTTATGAAGATAAATGTTTCCAAAATTTTCGAGTATAAAATTTAAGGGAGAGGTGATTAACTATCCAGCAAGCACAAAAAAGAATATTTGTGGATATTTTTTCTATAAAATATATTCGAATTGATAAAGGCATGGATGCTTAATGGAAGGAATGTATGCTCCTTAAGTATTCATCTTTTTATCGAGTGTGGTGTTTTAAAACGGTCAAAGGGAAGTGCACTGAAAAGGCAACATCATGAAATTATGCAGCACGATGGTAGATATAACAACCCTACTTAAGTATTTTTCCCTAATCGATAACGCACTTCCGAAATCCAATTAACATTTCACGAGACTGCTCTTTGACTGTGCGACTTCAGCTAAGACATTAGGTGTTAAATGCACCCCGACTTAAGCCAGGGAAGAGCCATGAGGCGAGTTGCCGATCATCTTCAAATTAGCTGATAACTGCAGTTTTTCTTCTTTACGTAAACATTTACGCGGTGTCTTGTTCCTCCTTAAACAGGTTTCCCCTGGTGGCCCGCCATGGTTGATCTTGATGCCTCCGGAAGGTACGCTCGCTTTGATCCCAAGACGCACATTGCCACACACTACAATGTTATCTTCCTTGACCCCTGCAAGTCTACCACCAAACTGCTACCTGCCAGCTCGCTTTGCAAATTCACACAGATGAATAAGGCCGACGTTATTCGCAAAGTAAGTCCCTACGCAGCTCC